GGTCTCTTGCCAGCCTAAGTAACATACCTTAAGCATTTGCTCCTGCTCCCCACATGGTTAATTTTCCAGGCACACTCCAACACGTACTCCTTTCTGCAAAAACGTGGAGAGTCATCTCATGGGCAGAAAAGATGGACAAGGAAGGCTGAACTGGATTGCTTTATGGTGGTTCAATTAACACTGTTAGAATGGGCAACCTACAGGAAAGCTACTTTCTGAAAAGGGTCAAAAGTATGCCTTTGGCTCTGTGAAATTTTCAGTAAATGAAAACGGCTCTAATTAGCAATGTTACAAGTACCTTGCTATAAATTGTAGTCTATGATATACAGATATAATGAAATGGATACACTGCAGCATTTGTGAATTTCCTAATCTATTTGAACTTCAAAAGTGAGATAGCTTTTGTGATAGCTGAATTGAGCTGAATAAAAGTAAATTGCGATCGTTCACCCTTGTCCTACATAACACAAACTGGCATATCAAGAATCGGGGTAGCGTGAGTACAGTACAGATGTCGATACCATCTGACATTGACTGCCAGAATTACTATCTTCCTGATAAATGTGTGACCTCATCTAATAGGAGAAAGACAAACCTGAACATTCAGGCCACAAAATTAAGGTGTAAAAATGTGTGTCAAATACTGAAGAATTCTAAAATTTGTTTTGCTGGGTAATATTCATATTTTACAACTTACTGTGAGTCTTAATTTAGGATATACTTTGTATTTTTAACAACTTGGTTCCAAATTTGGGTACTTAGAGAAAGCACTGTTGCTTGTCTTTAAGAAATATATAATAATACCAGACCCATATTTTCCTTATCCAGGGCTTGATCCAAAAATCAACCGAAGCAGAGAGTTCTGTTCACTAATGGCTTTCCTTTTAAATGACTGTTCCTGCTTCTCACGTGTCTGCTTTTCTGAAAAATCAGCTCTCTTTTCAGTCATGCCATAATTGTACGCTAACCTTATTTCCTTTTTAAAAAATGCCTATACTAATCCAGCAAATGTCATGCAATGCCTATAAAAGTCATTTTTATATGATTTTTGCCTTATTCTTTCCTCAGAAATTAAAATCTTCGCAGATGTTTAACTCAATTCTGCTGAGAAGGCTCAGGATGGCTTTAAAAAAAAAAAAGAACCTAAGCATATTTACCTAGTGGTAGTATGTTACATGCATGTATTGTAAAATTCTGTGGTTATGTACAACTTTTGAGGAAGATACATATACAGAATTTACAGTTGTTCAATAAACTGTCTTTTCTAATCGTGGCTATTACAAAATCAGCGTTGATAAAAATCAATATATGAATATACATTGTTATATTTTAAGTGATATGACTGTAATGCGTTTCATTTGTTGATTTTAAATATATAGTATAAATCTTTAAAAGCCGACTACAGCAATTCAGTGTCATAAAGGTACAAAATATCATCCTTATGCAACTTTTCTGATCCTTGGTTCACAAATATTCAGAAAGCAATGGTGGCTTCCTCACAGCAAGGGGCTGTGCCTTCTTTTAGTTCGTGATACAATTCCACTGTTACCAAGTATTTTAGGACATGACCTATTTGAAAAGTAAACCACAGATCATCTCACCACATATTGGGGATATTGTCCAAGAACACCCTCAGCATTCCTTTTTTAATTTACAAGATGCTCCTGTATTCAAAAAATGAAGGAGTCTGTGCTCACGCTCATAGCTGTGTTTTAACAAAACATCCCAATAAAATATGGTGCTAACCTTGTCTCAGCCAGACCTCAAACCACCTGAAGGACTACACAATTAAATATGCAGCACAGCAAAGCTGTGACTGATAGCAGATTGCATTTCAATAACTATTTCTGAACTTTCTCAGTAACAGTGTCCTCTTCCCCAAAACATTCATTACAGGCCAACTGGCGCGCCTCACTAACAGTAGAAGCGGCAAGTCATCCTTAGTTTGTGCCAACAAAATTGCAGGAACTAGCAGCCTGTATACAATGCACACGCCTTTATGTGACTGCTAGTGCAGCCCTGTAGCAGCCTCACATCCTTGGTCCAGCCCTCAATCCACATTCCTTACTTTTGCTGAGAGGTAAGGAAAAAGGGGAAGGAGCAGAGCTAGCTCCTTACCAGCAGCAGCAGCAGCAACAATGCTCTGAAACAGTTAAACTTCAACAGCATTGGGAATAATCTTCAGATCCTAAAGATCTTCTAAGACATGAGTCCTTCTTAGGGTTCCTACTGCTTTATCCGAGGTTCATATTGCAGTCTGCCTCTAAAACATTTACTGGATGAGAAGACTTTGTTGAAAAACATACTAAATCTCCCGGACTTGCCATTCTGCAGTGAGGTTCCTGCAGTATGGATCAGGTCTAAATCTGACATATCCTGAGACAGTATCTTCAGTTAGCTCTGTCATTCCTTTGACAGTCGTAACACTTGAGGGGAAAAAAAAAAAAAAAAAGGCAGCGTGACAGAGAGCTACACATAACTAAATTTAAACATACATCTTGGAAATTAAATTAATAAATAGACATTTGTACTTTCTTTGTCCCAAGTTTTCCATATAGAAGCAAGATGTTGAGAGGAAAATGAACTCCAAGCACGCTCAAGATACTTATATAGGAAGTATTTAACAGATTGCAGCCTGTAGCTGTTTGGCAGGAATCCCTTGACTGCTGTCCTCCCTGTCCTCCGAAGTCTTATTGTCAAGATTAGGAGGCATTGGCAGAACTGCACTACATCAGCTATCTGCAGCATATTTATGTCTCATGACCAAAAAATTTATCTATTGAGGAAGCTCATTAACCAATAATAATAGGCATTTTTCAAAACAACACACAAAACAAAGTAGCATAGGGAAGGAAAGCAAAATGGAAACTTCAAAAATTGTCTTTTTCAAATTTAGATAAAAATATCCAGGTGTGTTTTGGGCTGGGATGTTTTTCCTTCAACATTAGTGAATTTTTTTGGCAGCAGTAAACAGAATCTTCCTCTTTCATTGACAAACATCAAACCTCAAGTTTATAGCAGCTCTTGTTCCTATTTATTTATTTCAAGACTTTTGCAGTTGCCCCAACTCAGGTAGAAATTCGAATTACTTCCTATCGTTCAAGATAAGATTTAGAGTCACAATTACTACATGGTGTTTGTTAACATATACCTCCACATAATACTGTGAACAGATGCAGGCAATATTGCCTAGTACACACCATCATCTACAAATTTTGGGCAAGTTCCTCATATTAAATAACACATTCAGTTCAATTCAGCCCTTCTCTTGTTCATGAGCAAATTAAAGAGGTTTTATGTTCATTATTCAAAATGATTTGCTAAGTGCAGTCAAGGATAATTCTTTAGCAGTCCATGAGCAGTTGCTGTGGGTATTTAAATTCAAATAGTTTCAGATGGGTTATATATCACACGGTATGCTTTTATTACCTAATTGGGTTGCTCTCTATAGAGCATCCCAGTCTCTCTCACCTCTGTAACACTGAAACATGCATATTGGATTACAGCTGGAATCGGATTTCCCAAAGTAAATGGCTATATTTACAAATACCATACCTGCCTGTCATGAATACTCTGTAACATAGCTGCCAGAGCCACCATTTCCAAGAGGTCCCCAGGAGCAAGTTTTTCACTGCAGTATTTGTGATGAAAACAAGCAGCGATGTCAACGTCGGTCACATGAAGTGCATTTCTAAAGCACGTTCACTTTAGAAATTCATTGTTGCCCAGCCTGTTTGCCTTTAGGTGCTTCAGCTTACAAAGAAACTAATCGTTTAGTCAATAGGCACTCACCAACTGAACACTACAAATCTGTTGCACTTGAAATAATCACACAGCTCTCCTATAACCTTGCCCATAACTTCATATGCAAATGAGAGTAACTACAGATCGCAGATACTATACACATCAAGCCTTCAGGCAAGCTCCGTTCCAAATGCAAAGGAAAAGTTTCTGCACTGTCTCACAGATGGGCAGAGTTTCTGCCAGATGGCATCTGGCAAAGTGAAGGCATGGAAAGATTCCAGCATCAAAGGACTCGACAGAGCAGCCCAGGCAGCAGCTCTCTCCTGTCTACAACCCCTTCCCTTGGACATTAACTGAAAACCTTAAGGCAGCCAGCAACACCTCAAAGATCAAAGGTCTGAAGCTCTACTCAGTAGGACCTCGTCTACACTGGAGAAACGTGTTGGAGAACTTTGTGTTAGAAATACGTTGTAATAAGCACAGTGCTCATTCATTTTGCCCGAGTCAGGAAACTCTGAAGTATTCAGACAGCAAGTACCACCAAGCAGTGATTGGCCAGGGGAGGCTACCCGTATGGAGTACAAATCCTGTGGCTTGGTGACTTCTTCTTTTGAGGAAGAAAAAAAAAAAAAAAGTGATCTTCACTTCCCTCCCTGTTCCCCGTACCCCAGTACTCTCAGGGCTTCTAACCAAAGCCACTGCTGTCATCTACCCAGCTAATTCCCGACAGGCAGCAGCAGCACCAGCATTGGCAGAAGTGAGAGGAAAAAGATAGCAAGCTAGTTTGTCCCGCAGCCCAAAACAACTCTTAATACAACACAAACAACTCTTAGTCATGCAATCCTCCTCAAACTAACAGGATGCAAAGACACTTTTGAGTTAGCAGCAGATGAGCTTAAGTACAAGAAATAGCCCAGCTGTATCAGCATAAAGCTCTGTGAAGGCTAAAATTTACCTTGAAATTACCAAGGAGAGTAAACTAACCCATGCTGCCAAGGCTAGATCGTCTCCAGTATCCAGAATTGCACCCATATCTCTCTAAAGGCCTTCTCCTAGACTTCTCCCCATCTAAATGAAATGCCTCCTCTTTCAGCACCTCCACGGCACCTTGAGCCCAAGAAGGCTTATATAGGGAAGACCACAGCAGTCAGGTCTCCATGGGACCATGACACGACAAACGTAACAAGTGAAAACCTCAAACTCTCCTTTTCAGTCCAGCTAAATAGCTTCTCCTTCACTGAACAACTTGAATAACCAGGAAAGGGCTAGGGATTAGTTGTACCTAATTATTACGAACTTTCATCACAAAGGACAAACATGTATCCTTACAGGAGGCTTTCAGAAACC